GAATGGCCACTGATGAAAAATCATATTATTTATTCATTCACTGTTTTTTAGTGTTTCAGTGTTTATTAGTATCCAGCCTCATCTTGGTTATATTTCAAAAATCAAACATTTTCCTACAGCTGTGACTTAAACAATACAATGTAGTTACCATATCATGCTTCAACTGTTAAATTAAGCCCATCATGTGATAGCTCTAAAAAGATTCATTTAAAAATCAAGATTTAAAAAATACATATTGATTAAGATGTACCACTAGGAAGATATTACATGTGTCTAAGTATGGTAAAAACGCAAGTCACTAGTTTGAGATGAAAAGTAACATTTTCATGATAAAATACCAGCATGTATGTACTTGTATAATGTGTACTTCTAAATAGAGAAGGCTTATTCAAGTAAATGCATTAAGGCCAAGTGCAGTGGCTCACACTTGTAATCCAAGCACTTCGGGAGGCTGAGGTGGGAGGATTGCTTGAGCTCAGGAGTTTAAGACCAGTCAAGGCAACATAGCGAGACCCCATCTCTATAAATTAAAAAAAAAGTAAATGCATTAAATGGAAGGTTGATAGTTTACCAAAACCTGCAAAGATGTTTGTAAAATTTTGTTTTAATCATTTTCTTTGACGTCACATCATTGTACTATCTTCATTTTTGTATGGAGCTGCTTCAATTCTAAATCTTCTAGATTTCCCCTGCCTATCTATTTTTTGTTGTTGTTTAAGACAGTAAAATAAGTGTTTTTTAAGTCTAAAAAAGAAAAGAAAAGGGTCAAGAACTGCTATTTTGAAACTCTGAGTTTATTTTATCCCTGCTTAAAAGCTTTCAGTGTCAGTCCGTTGCATGCAGCTTGGCACCCTCAGCATACAAGTCTCCTGCTGTTTACAGGATAAAAGCCTGACATATCTTATCTGCTATGATACTGTTTACCTCAAGTTTGATCTTTCCTGATTTTGACTGCAGACACCACAGGTAGGCTACTTGCTAGAATGCCTATGCTCTTCCACTTCTAGTCACTGAGTTTTATGCTTACCAAGAGTGAACTGTTTATTCTCAAATCTGCTTATGCCAGTTTCATCTGTTACTGTAGGCAAAGCATTATGGTATGGGTGTCCTTCCATGCCAAACTGTGATTCTTTTGACTGTACCAACCCCTTCAGTAACTCCATTCCACTACACCAACTGTGGTCTGTCTGACACAGTCTTACTGCTTATTTCATCTCATTAATTCCCATTCATCCCTTGATTCTCAGCTCCCTCTTCTTCAGGAATCCTTCCTTGTTTCCTGTACCCGCCACCCCCAGGTTTTTTTCTGGGTTAGGTGCCCTTCCTGTGTGCTCCAGCATAGCATCTACCTCTGTCTTACTGCTTATTGTCTAATAATAAGTCTGCATATTCTTCTTCATCTTTAACTGGACAGTAAGCTCCTTAAAGGCAGAGATTACATTTTTGTTATTTCCAGATCCCCAGTGCCTTAGCACATTGCCTAGTACATAGAAAGTGCTTATTAAACATTGAGTGAATTAATTAAATTGAAAATACTGCTCCTCCTAGAGTCTTCTCCATTTTACTAAGTGGCAGCTCTGTTCTTCCAGTTGATCTACCCAAAATCTTGAATGTATCCCCCTTCTCTCTGACCCCACCTCCAATCCATGAACAAACCTTTGTTCTTATAGCCAGAATTCAACTATAGTCGACTTTCCACATCCTTGTGTTCCACATCTGTGGATTCAACCAACTGTTGAATTGAAAGTATTTGGGGAAAAAGAAAAGGGTAGTTGAATCTGTAGACTTTTTTTTTCTTGTCATTATTATTCCCTAAACAATACAGTGTAACAAGTATCTACATAGTCTTTACGTTGTGTTATAAGTAATCTAGAGGATTTTGTTTTGTTTTTTTGTTTTTATTTTTTATTTTTGAGATGGAGTCTTGCTCTGTCACTCAGGCTGGAGTGCAGTGGCACAATCTTGGCTCACTGCAACCTCTGCCTCCTAGGTTCAAGTGATTCTCCTGCCTCAGCCTCCCAAGTAGCTGGGATTACAGGTACCTGCCACCATCCCTTGTTAATTTTTTGTTTTTAGTAGAGACAAGGTTTCATCATTTTGGGCAGGCTGGCCTTGAACTCTTGACCTCAGGTTATTCGCCTGCCTTGACCTCCCAAAGTGCTGAGATTACAGGCATGAGCCACCATGCCTGGCCGAGATTATTTAAAGTGTATGGGAGGATGTATGTAGGTTACATACAAATACTTATGCCATTTTATATCAGGGACTGGAGCATCTTTTTTCACACCATGTTGGCCAGGTCTTGAACTCCTGACCTCAGGTGATCTGCCCGCCTTGGCCTCCCACAGTGCTGGGAGTGAGCCACTGCGCCCACCTGGCTAGAGTGGCTAACTGATTTCTCACTTCCGCCTTAGTCTCCTTCAGTCTGTATTCAACACGGCAGCCAGTGTGATCATGTTAAAACATGAATGAGGACTGGGTGCAGTGGCTCACGTCATTAATCCCAGTGGTTTGGGAGGCTAAGCTCAGAGGGTTGCTTGAGGCCAGGAGTTTGAGACAGCCTGGGCAACATAGCAAAACCTCATCTCTACAAAAAATAAAACAATTAGCTGGACGTGGCGGCGTGCACTTGTAGTCCTAGCTACCCGGAAGTCGTTCAGAGTAAGATCCCGTCTCTTAGAAAAAATTTTTTAAAGTGAGTGAGATCATATTTCTCTGTTCAGAGCCTTCCAGTTGCTTCCCATCTCACTCAAAGTAAAAACCCAAGGCCCTTACCTAGTCCTGCCAAGCCTGTTTAGCCTGACCATCCTGTTCTCTTTACTTACACTGCTGTAGCCACCCTGACCTCTTTTCTCCTTCCTGAACACTCCTGGCATGTGTCTGCCTGTGTCCCTGCTGTGACTTCTGCCTGGTAACTGTGTTAAATGATAAACTTTAGACAAATTGCATTTAACAGAGTTTTGTTTTGATTTGTTTTTGTTTTTTTTTTTGAGGAGTCTCATTCTGTTGTTGTACTCGAGCGAGTCAAGGAATTTGCCACACTCGGAGATTGAATTATGTCCTTTATTATGCCAGCGACCGAGAGGTAGCTAGCACCCAAACTTCTCTAGGCCCCTAAGAAAAAGTTAGGTGGTCTTTCATACCCTAGTTTTTTTTTTTTTTTTTTTTTTTGAGACGGAGTTTCACTCTTGTTACCCAGGCTGGAGTGCAATGGTGCGATCTCCGCTCACCGCAACCTCCGCATCCTGGGTTCAGGCAATTCTCCTGCCTCAGCCTCCTGAGTAGCTGGGATTACAGACATGCCCCACCATGCCCAGCTGATTTTTTGTATTTTTAGTAGAGACGGGGTTTCACCATGTTGACCAGGATGGTATCGACCTCTTGACCTCGTGATCCACCCGCCTCGGCCTCCCAAAGTGCTGGGATTACAGGCGTGAGCCACCGCGCCTGGCCTATACCCTAGTTTTAAAAGGGAAGGGGAACCTAGCTGAAGGAAATTTTTCACAGAAGCAGAGTAAGCCAAAAGTTAAAAGATAAACTAGTACATGAGAAATAAAACAGTGCCAGGGGTAAAGCTGTCATGAAAGACATACAACTAATAGATAATGGGGGCTCTGGGCACTTGACAGCACCTGCATTCCCAGGCTCTGCTGGTACCACTTAACATGGCCTCTTATCAGCAAATGCATTCCTGGAGGTGCCCAGTGTCAGCCTGCCCCAGCTACGTACTACAGTTACGTACTTAATGGTGGGAAAATAACTAAAATGAAGAAGCTAAGATGGAGTCTGTCCGGCTCAAGAAGCTAACATGAAGCCTGAACAGCTCTCACTCTGAGAAAGAGAGAGTCAGTTTTAGCTGGCAGAAAGCAGGTTGTCACACTGTCACCCAGGCTAGAGTACGGTAGTGTGATCTCAGCTCACTGCAACCTCTGCCTCCCAGGTTCAAGTGATTTTTCTGCCTCAGCCTCCTGAGTAGCTGGGACTACAGGTGCATGCCATCATGCCCAGCTAATTTTTGCATTTTTAGTAGAGATAGAATTTCTCTGTGTTGGCCAGGCTGGTCTCAAACTTCTGACCTCAGGTGATCCACCAACCTCAGGCTGCCAAAGTGCTGGGATTACAGGCATGAGTCATGCGCCCAGCCTAACAGAGTTTGATCAAGCAAAGAACAATTCACAAATTGGGCAGCCCTCAGAACCAGGTCAGAGTGACTCTAAAGCTGTCACATGGTAGAATATTTGTGGACAGAAAAAGGAAAGTGACATACAGAAATCAGAAGTCAGGTACAGAAACAGCCAGATTGGTTACCACTTGTTTACCTTACTTGAACAGTTGGCTGCCTGTGATTGGTTGAAACTCTATGATTGGCACAAGATCCAGTTAGGTTATAGTTCTGTCACCCAGGCTGAAGTGCAATGGTGCAGTCATAGTTCACTGCAGCCTCCAATTCCTGGGCTCAAGAGATCCCCCTGTGTCGACCTCTCAAGTAGCTGGGACTACAGGTATGCCACTACACCCAGCTAATTTTTTTTTTAATTTTTTGTAGAAATAGGGGTCTTACTATGTTGCCCAGGCTGGTTTCAAACTTCTGGCCTCAGGTGACTCTCCTGCCTCGACCTTCCAAAGTGCTGGGATTACAGGTATGAGCCACTGCACCCAGCCAAATATTCATTTTAAAAAATAAAAATAGAATATTTTTTATTGACATTAAATCTACCTTCTTAAAGCAACTAGAAACAAATATGAAACTTAGTATGTATGTTTTCTCCCCCCATAAAGGTATGAGTTAGCAAATCCAAAATACTTTATGTGTACTTTAGGATAAGTAAATATATTGTGATGCTGGCCTAGTTCCCTTGGACAATAAAGAAAAAGTATACCCTCTCCCACAAGCCATTCATTCATCATGGTTTGTTCATTAAATATATATTGAGTATCTAGTATGTGCTAAATCCAGCTCTAGGTGCTAAGGATACAGCAGTAAATAAAAAATGAAAATGTCCTCATGAAGCTTATGATATAATAGTGTAAGATAGATAATAAACAAGGAAAATACATAGTATGTTAGAGGTTAAGGTTACGGACAAAATTTAAGCAGAGAATGGATAGAGAGTAGTGAGGGTTAAAAAGAGGTACCTGTAATCCCAGCACTTTGGGAGGCCGAGGCGCGTGGATCACGAGGTCAAGAGATCAAGACCATCCTGGTCAACAAGGCAAAACCCCGTCTCTACTAAAACTACAAAAAATTAGCTGGGCATGGTGGCGCGTGCCTGTAATCCCAGCTACTCAGGAGGCTGAGGCAGGAGAATTGCCTGAACCCAGGAGGCAGAGGTTGCAGTGAGCCGAGATCGCGCCATTGCACTCCAGCCTGGGTAACAAGGGCGAAACTCCGTCTCAAAAAAAAAAAAAAGAAAAAAAAAGAGGTACCATTGGCCGGGCACATTGGCTCACGCTCGTAATACCAACATTTTGGGAGGCTGAGGTGGGTGGATCACCTGAGGTCAGGAGTTCAAGACCAGCCTGGCCAACATGGTGAAACCCCCTCTCTACTAAAAATGCAAAAATTATCTGGGTGTGGTGGCAGGCGCCTGTAATCCCAGCTACTCGGGAGACTGAGGTATAAGAATCGCTTGAACCCTAGAGGCGGAGGTTGCGGTGAGCGGAGACCGTGCCACTGCACTCTAGCCTGGGAGATAGAGCAAGACTCCATCTCCAAAAAAAAAAAAAAGAAAGAGGCATCATTTTAGATAGTGTGGTGTTAAGTCCAGTTAAAGCTATCTCTATATATTTTAACTTCAGTGCTGGGAATGTTAAAAAATTAAAAATAAATTAGCTGGTGTGTGCCTGTAGTCCCAGCTACTTGGGAGGCTGAGGAGGGAGGATCACGTGAGCCCAGGAGTAGGAGGCTGCAGCAAGACCATGTCTCAAAAAATAAAATAAATACTTTTTACAGCTAATGGAATAAAAGAGGTGTGAAAGTGAATTCCTGTGTTTTGAAATTATAAGGAATAAAATGAATAATCACTTGGTGATTAGATTATATTAGCGATTCTCCACTGAGGCTGATTTTGATCTACAGGGTCAAATGTGGCATCTGGTAGAGGCCAGGGAGACTACTAAATATCCTACACAATAGCCCACATACACACCCACACACAACAAAGAATTTTCTACTGCAAAGTATCAGTACTGTCTCAGTTGGGAAACCCTGGGTTAAAGAATTTTACAATCCTTTGTAATCGTGAGATTCTCTGATTTGTAGGTCTTTTCTTTTTCTGAAGGTTGAGAGTTCATTGAAAATTATTTTTGTGAGTTTTAAACTTCTCTTCATAACAAGTTTTTGTACTTTAATATGTAGGTATTTTTATAATAATTCTAATAGCTTTCTCTCTTCCTGCTGTGAGCCTGTCATAGGATTATAATCACTGCAGAAATGAGTTGTGTCATCTCTAAGGAGAACTAGAAACAGCATTGTTGCTCTTCAAATTCTTCTTGAAACTTAGAAATTTATTATTTATTATATTTTCCCAGAAAAACAAGTCTATAAAGCTTAATAGCCTGGAGAATAATTTGGAGACAGAACCTTAACAGATAACTTAAATGAGGAGACATTCATTTTATGAAATTGGAATTTTTACCAGTGACTCTTAATGAATGCCAAAGGTATTATCATTGTTGTGATAGTCAAAATGCATTTTCTGCCTTCAGGCCTTAAATCTGGCAAGACAGGTTTGTTCCTGTTGTGTGTGAAGTTTCATTCCTTCCTACGGAGTCAAGTGATTTTTTTGATTTGTGCCTTTTCCTGCCATTTTCTTATATCCATGGTCATTGCACATATTTTCCAGAAGTGCATACCCAATTAACATACTTCGTTTGTGTTTTCTTTCCATAGCAAAGGAGACTCACTGCTGATAAAACTGTTTGTTTTCACGATTTCAGGAGTAAATAGCTATGTTCCAGTTGTTCCTTGATTTAGTGTGTTCAATCACGGTTCTTCATCTCTTAATTTTGGTGTGTTCTTTCTTGTGAACGATTTGTTACATAAAAGAATGAAAGAAAATAGAATTATAGACATTAGAATTAGAAGAAAAATAGTCTTCTGCCCTTTGGTAGGTAAAGCATTAATTTGTATTTCCACTTTAGAGCTGAAGTAGCATCCACAGCTTGGAACTGCCAGAAGAGTTATTTTATTTATTTATTTATTTTTTTGAGACAGAGTCTTACCCAGGCTAGAGTGCAGTGGCGCGATCTCAGCTTACTGCAACCTCCGCCTTCCGGGTTCAAGCGATTCTTCTGCCTCAGCGTCCTGAGTAGCTGGGATTACAGGCACCCACCCCGCCCCCCCCCACCAGCTAATTTTTATATTTTTAGTAGAGAGGGGGCTTCACCATGTTGGCCAGGCTGGTCTCGAACTCCTGACCTTGTGATTCAACCACCTTGGCCTTCCAAAGTGCTGGGATTGCAGGCGTGAGCCACTGTGCCTGGCTGGAACTGGCAGAAGAGTTTTGTACACAGGCTTATACATAAGCAGACAATTTTCTTTATCCTTTGGGCCTGTCAGGAGTTGGAACTGGTACTCATTAATGGTTTGTGACATGCTTCTCTCGGTGGAATTTTGACCTTTTCTTGATGATATAGGTTGCAAGTTTTAGTAAAGTTTTAGATTCTCAAGTATTTTGAGTGGCTTCTCTCAGAACTCATAAAATTATAGTGGTTAAAAAATACTCCTCCGTCTATTTTGGCTTAGAGGGTGAAAAAAGTACTTGAACTTCTCAGATAAAAAGCTTCGAAATACCAAATGTTCTTACAAGGACTTGATAATTTGTTATTTAAATAATGTGGTATATTTTTGTACTTGAAGTTGTCCTTTAAAAGAATCCTTTCAGTCTTTCTGCTTGTGTTAATGATGGAGATATGAAAGCAGATTTTTTTTCTTTAAATAAGAAAAGGTGTCACTCTGTTGACCAGGCTCTGGAGTGCAGTGGCATGATCACAGCTCACTGCAGCCTTAACCTCCTGGGCTCAAGGGATTCTCCCACTTCAGCCTCCTGAGTAGCTGGAACCACAGGAGTACGCCACCATGCCTGGATAATTTTTAATATTTTTTGTGGAGATGGAGTCTCCCTATGTTGCCCAGAATGGTCTTGAACTCCTGGGCTCAAGTGATCCTCCCACATCAGCCTCTCAAAGTGCCGAGATTACAGTCATGAGCCACCACACTGTGTACGAAAGCAGAGTTTTAAAGAATGGTTAGATCTTAATCTTAGCTGCATTGCCTCCTAAGTGTTTTTGTATGTGCCTACCTCTTAAATGAAGAATTTTTTTTTTCTAAATAGTATTTAATAGGCAACATTTCACTTGTTTAGAAAGTTATGTGCACTATGCCTTTCTAGAGTGTCTGTGGAAGCTTGTGATCTCTGGTCCTGAGTTCTCCTGTCTTCCTTTTCTCTTAAAATGAATGCAGTAGACTGCTCAATCCACTTTCTAGTCTGATTTTTCTGGCTGTTGGTTTTTTCTCTGTTAAGTGAAGTGTGCACTGCATTGAATAGGAATACATTCTAAAATCTAGGCAAATAGGAATGTGTTAATATCCTTCTATACTGGCGTCTGGGGCACTAGTACTTTTAAAAATAGACTAGCAGGAATCTGTAACTGAGGGTTTTTTAGATCATAGTCAATGCCTCCACTGACAATGTATGAATATTTTTAAGTTATAATTAAAGATGACTCCTTAATGTTATGTGAATCTATAAAAATATAACAAATATGATGGATAAAAGTATTAGGTGATGTCTTTTATTTTGAGAAGTGTGCTCTCATAATGCTCCTTAGAGATAGGCAGCAAAATATCTTTAACAACTGTATGCAACCAGTGAAAAAATTGAATTTGTATCTCTTGGCTGTTTTACCAAGGTTATCCTTGGTTAGACTATATATAACATTCCTATATAGACTATATATAATATTCCTACATGTAATATTTTGACATCCCTGAAATCAAAACTTTATTTCTTCAGTTGTGTTTAAATGAATTTTAGTAAAAGACTCTTGCTTAAGATTTTTTCTCTTGGTTCTTCAGATCTTGACTAGAGCCAGACAGCTGGATGTGTGCTTTTTTTTACTGAGTTTGTTCATTACTTCATTTGTTCCACTATTTAACAAATTATAACGTATATAGCATGTGTCAGGCACTTTGTTACAATTCTATCTGGTATTTTTTTTTTAATCATTTCAGGACTGGTGAGGAATATTTTAATATCTCAAGATGGTGTTAAATTGGGATCATGTGTTTTCAAAAAAGAAGCACCTGGCTCATTGTATTGTTCTACTCTGAGGCAACCTTGGGGGGCCAAGATCCCCATCCTTAAGCTTGTAAGGATCATGATGCTTGTGAAGCTGTTTCAGGTGTTTTGCGACACTTAATAACTGCTGCTTGCTGCCTGCCTATCCTAATTCTCTAAGGGATGAAGAACTCTTCAATGAGCTTCTAGTCTCTGTTAAGGCACTTTAAAATGTCACCACTTTTCCCCTTCCTGTCACCCATTGTACCAGATCCAGACTCACATCAAACCATGTGAGCTACGTAAGAGTTAAATTGTGTGTTTTATCTGATATTGTCATAGACTTAGCATGTTAGCTCTCAGCCACTCCCATCTCTAAAGCTTTTATGTTAAAATTATATTTAAAGCTGTATCAAAATTACTACTTTGAATGGTATACAGATTGACAAATAGATTGCCTATTGTACAAATGAGGAAACTTGTTGCTCTTCATCTGGAGAGGTGCTGCTGCTGCCAGCCATTTTGCTATCAGCAAAGCTTCCAAATCGCTTCTAACAGTAGTGGCTTGTGTTGTACCCTGGCACAAAGGGACTCCTTACCTTAGGTCTCCTAAGAGGTCAGTGGCAGAGATAGAAATGGAATATTGTTATGTAGCTTTAAAACAGCAAAGCTGAAAAGCTGACATTTTGCTTTCCCTTTTTCTCTCCATCTTTCTTGTTAAAGGAGTGGTTAACGTGTTGCTAACAACTCCACTGTGGGTGGTAAACACCAGACTGAAGCTGCAAGGGGCAAAATTTAGGAATGAAGACATTGTACCAACAAACTACAAAGGTATCATTGGTAAGTATCTCTTTGCTGAGTTCCTGTTTAAAGGTTTTCCTTCTTCTTTGTATCTGGAATATGTTGCCACATAAAGCTACATAACAGAAAACCTCAAATCTCGGCATCCATCAGTAGCATTTTTTTTTAACTCATGTGTTCATGGATTGATGTGGTGGATTTGGCTCATCTAAGCTAGCCCTAGCCTGACAGTCTCAGCCCACAAGTCTGTCCTCCTCTTTCTGGGACCAGCATGAGCATATTCTCCTCATTGTGATGGCAAAAGCTCAAGAGGACACAGCCAATCGTATAAACACCTTTCAACCCTGTTGGCACCTTGTCTGTTGACATCCCAGTGGC